TATTTTGGTGTTTGTAAAATGTTCACAGTTACAATATTTTTCGTTGAAAACATTCCAACCTCTTCTAATCTTCATTTTCCCGCCACTTTAGTAACCTGTATGCGCATACGTATATACGTATGCATGCATGTAACTGTCAAAACAGAGCGTCAATATGGCGGCTGTAGAAATATTTTCAAGCTGTGTTAATTATAAATATAAAAGTAAAATATGCTCTTTAAGTTTCCTCGTGGTATTATTCTTTTTAATATTATCGTTCCTCACACCGTTCTTTATTATCAGTTATACGGGAGGTGAGTATTTGGTTTGTTAATAGAAGATCCGATAAGTATAAAAAAAGTACTATAATTTCAACATAATTGTAATTCATTGATATCGATGTTTATAATTTCCAGGTTTTTATATAGTGAATCGTGTGTATGCAGAGAAACCTGATGTGTTATTTAATTACAAGTATATGTTATTAGGATACAGAGACTATAAGGTTAATCCTATCGTTTGTTCGGTGTTCACAACATATAAAAGTAATAAAATTACAGACGACTGTGTATTGATAAAGGTCTTATTATTATTGGATTTCTGTCTATCGACGCGTATAAATCGTCGATATATTTTGCAAATACGAAGTCTATGAAATTTTAGGTGCAAGAAGTAGACACGAACAGCGACGGAGTAAAAGACATTTTAAAATTCGAGGCTCAGTTCTATACAGATACGCCGATTAAGAATTTAATGCTTCTACTTTTCTTCGATTTTAAACTCAAGGTAATAACGATATAAAGATAACGCCGACGATATCCCAACGATCGTACAAATATGCCTATAATATTAACATATTCGTGCCCTGAATTTTTTATAGCAACTATATTACATAACGATAGAATCGATCGCTGTATTTAATCACGTATTAAACGACGAAGTACAAGAAGTAGAATTTTTTGGAGATTTAACGTTAGAACAAAAGGGACTTCTCACCGGTCAAGGTTCATACAACTTACATAATTACAGTATAGAAATGGCTGATAACACATTAGAGGAATTGCTTATGCAAAATGCAAATAAAAAATGTTGGTATAGCTCGTCGATATTATCATTTTAGATTTAAGAAAATATCGTATCGTAACGTCTCTGATCTTTTAGTTTCAGCGAAAATCAGTAACGAACACGTAACCCATCGAAGTAGATTCTCCGAACAAGAGAAAGTAGTAGTTCGTGGAGAATTAATGTACAGAGAACGTTTAATTTATTATCAACCTAGTATATGGGAAGAATTAAAATGGGCATGGATTCAGTATTTATCGTGCCTTCTCGTCTTCGCATATTTAACAAAACATATTTTAGTTTTCCTATTCTCTAAAAAATATTTGAATTGTTATATCACGGTGCCATGGAAGAATAAACGATTATTGGATCGATAATTAAACTGTACGTTTACTCGATCGACGATCGAGCCGGTTATAGAACCTATGCGCGGATAAATTTTCAAGCTTTCGTATCGATTCCCTGATGATACTCTAGCACGGTTGCTCGGTTACAATCTGTTAGAAAATTCGTCATCTCTCGATAACAGCTACGCAAATCGGATCAATATGAAATTTGTAAAATTGTTGCGGTCGAACAGGACCATCGCCGATCGTGCGTTTCTTTCCATAAAATCGTTTTATCGTAACAACGCGATGTCTAAATATCGCTAAAAGTGAAAAAAAAAAAAAGGAAAAAGAGAAAAGAAGAAAAATTGAGTTTAAAAGCATGAGAAAATGTACGAAACAGTATTTTTCAGATAATTTGATTTCTATATAATGTTCTATGCGCATGATATTTTTCCGAAAATAAACGACAAATAAACTCGCGATATGCCAAATATTTATTTTTGTCGAATCGGTAAGTAGAAATTACTTCTGAAACGACTTCACCATCGTATCGCGATATACACGTTAAATAATAGTCGCTGCAAACTCGAATAATAGTGTAACGAATCCAACGGTTCGTCGAACGCTCGAAGCAGGGACTACTGTTGCGTTTAACGAAAATATTTCATAAAGTCGAAGTAAAAGGAGAAGAGAGAAATAACGAGGCACTGGCCGACAGAGTTAGCAAGTCTTTCCGAACTACGCGGTCGATCGGTTCGATGAGGGTGGAGACTGCGCCGTATTCTATCCCCGCGTCTTTCGCCTCTAGCACCCTCGTATAGTGTCGCATCCGATATACACAACAGCTCTTCCATCAATTATTCATTCCCTGAAGTACAGTGTTTTCAGCGATAAGCGACGTTAAAATGTTCTTCGGGAGGCCGTACCCGTTCTCTTGGAGCGAATCTTGATCAACGCCACGCGAAAAGGGTGAGAGAGCAATTCCATACTATGGGAACATTAACGTTTAAACAGCTGCGAAGACGCTGGTGCGACGTTTACCTTGCCGTATCGTTTATCGGCTGTTTCTCTTCCAACGATTATGTCTCCGCGTATTCGCGAGTTATTCGACAATGACCATCCAGAGAGGAATCGTGTTTCGGTTCGTCGAGACTGTTGCTGCGGGAGATCAACATGCTCGAGAATTCTAATCCTTAACGAATCGAATTGTCGAATCTCTCTCGATCGAATATTCGAATTGCAGGGCACTAGGAAAGAAAAGCGAGGTCGAGCCATGTCTACGAGATCGAAAGAAAAGGTTGTGGCCGCGTTCCGAAAATTCTTCCGGTCGTCCGAGAAAATTTCCGAACAGGAGGCAGCAAGCAGTTCGACGAGCTCGCCTTCGAGGAGGCTTCTCGGTCGACACCATCGTCCCGACGCGGTAACACCGTCGGATGGTGCTTTGCCCGAGAATTCAACTGCCGGTAATTCCAATCATGGAACTTGTTTCTTCAAGTCCAAGAAATCTAATGGAACAACACCAGCTCAGGTACCGTTCTTCGATCTCTATGTTTCCAAAAGAATTCGGATAAGAATATCTCGATCGTTCCGTGAATTTCAGTCTCCCTCTCTCCTCCCACTCCCCCCTTTTCTCTCTCGGTGTAAATCAGACGAACCTAATTATTTGGCTGAACGCCGTGCAATAATCGAGAGATCTTTCCCCGGTTCATTTTGACCGAGAACTCCAAGCCAAGCTTGGGGGTGATCCGCTTCTTACGTTCCGTCGATTCAGATTCCCTTGCCCATTGGCGTGCCAGTTATGCCGATTGTGTCGCGTGCCTCGTTTCCAAATTGATTCGAATACATACTATGCGGTAACAACAACAGGTTTTACCATGTTTCTTGCTCGAATTGATTTCAGGGTACCGCCGATGTACCGGACAAAAGAGTTTGCTTGCGACGACTGATGAAGGAACTGGGCGAGATTCAAAAGACCCAGCATCGGCTCGAGTCTACCTTCACCGCGGAATTAGTTAACGACAATTTGTTCGAATGGCACGTCAGACTGCACAAGATCGACCCGGAGAGCGAACTGGCTGCCGACATGAGAGAGCTCAATATACCTTGCATCCTCTTACACGTCGTCTTCCCGGAGAACTTCCCTTTCGCGCCACCCTTCATGCGCGTTATATCTCCTAGAATCGAGAAAGGATTCGTTATGGAAGGCGGTGCTATTTGTATGGAACTTCTTACGCCGAGAGGTTGGGCCAGTGCTTACACCATCGAGGCCGTTATTACACAATTTGCCGCCAGCATCGTTAAAGGGCAGGTAATTTGGTCTAAAAATGTTTTTGGTCTTTTACAAAGATGCGCGTGTACACGTGTTCGAACGTTCCACGGTTGCGCGTGCATTCGAAATTACAGGGTCGCGTGGCGAGGAAGCCCAAGTCGAACAAGGAGTTCAATAGAAGATCCGCCGAAGAATCCTTCAGGAGTCTCGTCAAGACCCATGAGAAATACGGTTGGGTAACGCCACCGCTCGCCGAGGGTTGATAGGGTATGATATTTGATGAAATAAAAGAATGGTTGCTTCGAGAAAAAATGAAAAAATGAGCCGCTCTGTCTTTGCGAGCAGGTTTTAAGCGTCGGTTTCGTTAGTTACATCGTTTTCTTTTCCGAATACGATCGTTCGCGCGAGAAACTTTATCGCGGACCCGATAACGCGTGTGTCCATCGGATTCCGCGGAAAGCAACGGGAAGCGATCGACAGTTTTTCCGCGGTTCGGGAAACGTTGCACAGCGGCTTTGTACAATGATACGCGAGATCCATCGCCGTGGAATTTCCGCGAGGTTTTCGCCATAAAGTAGCGGCCGTTTCGGACTTGCCCCTTTTATCCTATCGTTAATATTATTTGCGTCCGTGTCTTGTTCGAGAGACAGGCGACGGGTAGACCGCGGACGTTTATGTATATTCGCATTTTGATAAATTTATCCATAGAAATACCGATCAAGTAGGATCTTGTTATCTCGATGAACAATTTAACCGATTCAAAATGAAATTTACGTCTTCGTCGAGCATTTAATACTTTATCGTATATTCGACTTAATTACACCTGCTACAAGTTGGTCGATTCTCTGCAGTCTACTATCGAGAGGAAATCGGCCGGACTCGACGGATGTGAGAGAGCGAAAGAGAGAGAGAGAGAGAGAGAGAGAGAGAGAGAGACGCCAAAGCGAATCTGCTATCGGTTCGCGTAAATTATGTTGTTACACGTACGTAACTCTATCGAAATATTATATGGTAATAAATTCACGATAGCAAACTTTTTATATAGGGCAGGGAGAGCGCGTACAATTTTTGAATACAGCATGTTGTTTGTTAAAATTTGGAATCCCTCGCTAGATTTATGTCGTGAAAGTACACGGTACATTTTTATATTACGATAGCTAAACCAAAGAAAATAGATTTAACATCGTTTCCTGTTCCACAGGCGACGCGATTCCATGTGTCCAAAATTGTAGATACAACTTTGACGGTAGTATTATTTACAATGTTATATTATTGTATCCGATCAATACATAAAATATGTCCTGTATTTATTGTAAATCAATCTGTATATCTATTTACATTTAATAACAGCGATTTTATACTTACCGGACCTTCCGTACCCTTCCGTATTCAATTAAATTACCTTCTTAGTTTTTATTAAACGAAACTATTTCTTTGCAAAAGACGCGTCCTACGGCAGAGAGATCCGTAGTCGTAGGTTGTTGGTAAGGGGTGTATCGACGACGAAAGTACATTTTTTTAAATAGAACTTTCTATTTTTTTATTATACCATGACACCGTTCTTTTTTTTAGATCGATACAACGATCCACGACGCGATACCGTATTCCATTTTGTATAATATTATTCATTGAATCGAACCAAGTTACGATTGGATATATATTCATTTGGTACTTTGTATTTATTATCGAAAGGATGAAAAGGCATCCTCTTAATATTTCATTTACAGTTTCTAGTTTCCGTTCGCTTGTACTTACTTAACGATACGTATAACAAAGTGGTATAATAAAATACGATTCGTAGCTACATTCGTTGCTACATTATTTGCTGTATCTGTCGTTACGATATTCGTTGCTTATACGTATTAGGCGCTTTTTCACCGATTACTTGTTTCGCGAATACTGTCGTAGAGCTTATTAAAAAATCGATGCTGCGCGTACGATGGTAAAAACGAGGAGTTTAAAATTACAAATCGTTGCGAAAATTCTAACAAAAGTTCGAACAAACTTCTATCGTTTACGCGGAAGGGTGACGATGCGTCTTGTTATAACCGAACCGAAAACACGTATCCAACTGCCCTTGAGCGAGTCTAAAAATTGATTTTGTCGCATACGAATGCCGCGTGTTACACCGGTTAGGTGTTTGCGAGTTGACCGCGAGCTGTTTGCAGTATCGCGTTTACGCTAGAGTTTGCCGAAATCTCGGAAACAGCTCGCGTATTGTAATCACATGTTAGCGAGAAGGGCATTCTAACAAGGCATTCGATGTGTCGCGCGCATCGTGAAACGAACGAGCGTTAGTTTCTCGTGAACAAGTTCGCTGTCACCTGTNATCTGCTATCGGTTCGCGTAAATTATGTTGTTACACGTACGTAACTCTATCGAAATATTATATGGTAATAAATTCACGATAGCAAACTTTTTATATAGGGCAGGGAGAGCGCGTACAATTTTTGAATACAGCATGTTGTTTGTTAAAATTTGGAATCCCTCGCTAGATTTATGTCGTGAAAGTACACGGTACATTTTTATATTACGATAGCTAAACCAAAGAAAATAGATTTAACATCGTTTCCTGTTCCACAGGCGACGCGATTCCATGTGTCCAAAATTGTAGATACAACTTTGACGGTAGTATTATTTACAATGTTATATTATTGTATCCGATCAATACATAAAATATGTCCTGTATTTATTGTAAATCAATCTGTATATCTATTTACATTTAATAACAGCGATTTTATACTTACCGGACCTTCCGTACCCTTCCGTATTCAATTAAATTACCTTCTTAGTTTTTATTAAACGAAACTATTTCTTTGCAAAAGACGCGTCCTACGGCAGAGAGATCCGTAGTCGTAGGTTGTTGGTAAGGGGTGTATCGACGACGAAAGTACATTTTTTTAAATAGAACTTTCTATTTTTTTATTATACCATGACACCGTTCTTTTTTTTAGATCGATACAACGATCCACGACGCGATACCGTATTCCATTTTGTATAATATTATTCATTGAATCGAACCAAGTTACGATTGGATATATATTCATTTGGTACTTTGTATTTATTATCGAAAGGATGAAAAGGCATCCTCTTAATATTTCATTTACAGTTTCTAGTTTCCGTTCGCTTGTACTTACTTAACGATACGTATAACAAAGTGGTATAATAAAATACGATTCGTAGCTACATTCGTTGCTACATTATTTGCTGTATCTGTCGTTACGATATTCGTTGCTTATACGTATTAGGCGCTTTTTCACCGATTACTTGTTTCGCGAATACTGTCGTAGAGCTTATTAAAAAATCGATGCTGCGCGTACGATGGTAAAAACGAGGAGTTTAAAATTACAAATCGTTGCGAAAATTCTAACAAAAGTTCGAACAAACTTCTATCGTTTACGCGGAAGGGTGACGATGCGTCTTGTTATAACCGAACCGAAAACACGTATCCAACTGCCCTTGAGCGAGTCTAAAAATTGATTTTGTCGCATACGAATGCCGCGTGTTACACCGGTTAGGTGTTTGCGAGTTGACCGCGAGCTGTTTGCAGTATCGCGTTTACGCTAGAGTTTGCCGAAATCTCGGAAACAGCTCGCGTATTGTAATCACATGTTAGCGAGAAGGGCATTCTAACAAGGCATTCGATGTGTCGCGCGCATCGTGAAACGAACGAGCGTTAGTTTCTCGTGAACAAGTTCGCTGTCACCTGTTCCGAGCACCGGTATCGTATCGTAATATTATACATAGTACAAATTGCTAATCGCGTCGACCGCATTCCGAATTTGATTTCGAACGGTACAATAATATGTGCGAAGGTGTAAAAATTACTAAATTCTATGTTGCGATAGAAATGCTATAATATCGTTTATAAGTTTATCGTATAAATATCGTATAAAGTTCTTCGTTTATTCGATCGTGTTCTTTAAAGTAATCGCGGTATATAATAATCAGTTATTTTAAATACAGCGATGGGCAAAAGAAAGTTTAACGTCGGTGTTTCCGTTTACGAGTATTCGTAACTTTTTCGGAATCGGACGATACAAAATTTCAATCAAGCAACAAAAATAAATGAAAAAGGATAAAATTTAAGGTGTAGAACCATCTCGAAAAGTAAAATCCATTCCATCGACTATTACGACAGGGGTATCGACTGCGTCGATGCGTGTAAAAATCATTTTTTACAACGCGTAGAAAGGTGGTGCAGCGCCCAATCCTATTACGGAGAAATATTTTAAAATTCGAGCGGCCATCGTAATCTCCGGATCTCGGTTCCATTTTGGAAACCTCGGAACGATTTTGGTAAAACAAAATGTGTGTACATATACGTATACGTATACGTATACGTGTACAACGAAATATCTATACAGAGTACTTGAAAAGTATGTAAAAAAGGCTACAAGCTATAATAAACAGCAACAAAGTCTTACAAAATAGGTATATAAAATATCGCAGAATAAAAATCGTAATCGCAAAATGTAGAATTAAACTTATTTTTGTCTACGCTTAGTTTTTTCATTCGTATCATTGTTTTCAAAAAGCTATTAATTTTCTATTCAGTCTTTGTAATTTTTTGTTATCGTTATTTCATAAGATGTTTATAAATATGCTGCTTTCAGATAAAATTTCAGTTTACAGAAATTGTGGTATCTTTCGTATGTATCAGGCTTTGAACTTTCTTTTGTCGATCACTGTGCGCGCATACTCGTTGCAGCATATAATTGTTATTTTAGCGAATCGCTGAAAATTTTGTAACATTACTGTGTCGTTACATTTAGTTTCCGAACGAAAGCATATCTAGTTATTACGAAATAGAAAATCGGTATTCGAATTTCGTATCGCTTCGATGCGATCGTCCGCGAACACTTTCACAGAATTCAGAATTTTGTTGTTTTTACATCGATCGATCGATCGATCGGTTTTCGGTTTTTCGTCGTGTTATCGGAAAAAATATTTCTCTAAGGAAGAGCAGAATATTTTGCTATATTACAATTCCGAGTTCTCGATTGACTCTCCCCTGTATCTTCGAATCGACAGAGCATTTTCTTCGCCTATTTGTAAATCCTATTACGCCGCTCTAAAAACACGTTAAAAACATATCTTACGCAACGATCTTAGGGTAATTCCGTTAGACCGTTCCTCTTTTCGGTACCTTATAATTTAGCGGTACGCGCGACCAGTTGGGAGAGCATCGCAAATAAATCGGACGCGTAAAATATACATATATTGCTACTTACGCGTACATCGACGAGAACTTATATCGAACGGAAGAGCGGTTCACCGGTACGCGAACAACGACGAATAATTTATAGTTGCTCGCGTTGTATGTACAATTAAATAATATAAATATATGTATGCGCTGCTTCGTTTATTAAAATACGACGTTCCGCGTTCGAACGCACGGTTTAGCCAGCGTGTCGGACAGACAACTTCTTCTTTTCGACACGTTTCGACGCGTTTCGACGAATATTTTCGGTAGGTGGGACTGTGCGTAGAAAGCTTTTTATCCCGCGATCGTCGCACGATATCGTTTCGAGATCGGTAATCGGCATCTTGCATAGAAAAGACAACGAACCGATATATCGTGCACGGAACGATCGTTGCTCGCTCTTAGACTCCGATCGGTCCTTCGACGGTCGGGGCCTCGATTTACGATATTACGACGACGCGACGTCTTCTCCCAGGATCGAACGCGTATCCGAACGTGTCGCAATCGCGTTACGCGGTACGTACTCTCGCGAGTTGGGATCCTAGGAAAGATCCTGTTTGTCGCGTCGCGTCGCGACAAAGGAATTTAGTAATTGACGCATTTTGCCGAGACTACAAGATCGCCGCATTCGTTCGGAGGTATGTACGTGTAAAATTGCGCGGAGAAGATACGCGGCTGCGAATCGGTCGCCGCAATCGGGGCGACTCGAGGAATTCGAAATTCGTCGTGGTTCACGATTCTTGCCACGAATCGATCCGTCGGATTTGATCGGAACTATGCGGCGCGACGGCCCGTTCGTTGCCGCCGTTGCGCAGCTTTTCCAACGTTTTTAACCCGCGGACAAAACGAACGAGTTGGTTCAGCCGCGTGTTTCCATACCCGACTTACCACGATTTCCACGAGAAAACGGATCGCTCGCGCGTCACGGGGAACGAGATTCGATGTTCTCTCGTTCGTGAATCTCAATCGCTTTTCTGCTCCTGCATGCACATAAACAGCTTCACGCACACCATGTTCAGATTATCTGCAACGGAACGAATCAATTATTCCGAGTCTGGTTATCCGCAATGGCGGTTCGCCGGCAGATGTACGCGCGCGTATGTACATCGTTGATTGAAAATAATCGACAACCGTGAGTGTATCGGTGGGGAAAGTTTTCGGCGGCGTGTTTGGAAAGGAACGGGGGTCGCGCGGTCCTGCCATTTTCCGAAGTTGTGCACACGGTGTGCTGGATAAAAGTACGAGAAAGATAGTTTACGTTCGAAGGAAAATAACCGTACAGTTATTTCGTACCGTAGCTTCCCGTCGCCTACTCCCCGGTTGCCAGAGGTTGCGGCAGACGGAACGTTCAACGTAATAAGCGGAAGTTACTTACGAGACGACCTCACGATCCATTTAGGCTTCTTTTTCCAATGAATAAAAATCCAGTAGACAGGTATACCGGATAAGATGATTATTACCCCGACACCCACTTCCCAGGGCGACACGTAGCAGGGAACCGTCACCAAAAACGCGCAGATAACGAAAAATATGATCGGCAACACGATCGAGACCTACGAACAATCGAAGCGGAAACATTTCCTGTCAATTCCGCCGTAGCATTTTCCTTGAACGTGAAAACGTGATAACGTAAATCTAAATAAAAGTTGAACGGGTTAAGAATCTTTGCGTACCTCGAGCGGAGCGGTTCGGTTGAAACGAGCAAAAAATCTATGATACGCACCTTGATCGGTCGTTCACGGTCTGGATTTTTGTAGCGAAGCCAGAGGAGACCAGACACGGAGAGCGTAGTGAACAGTGCCTCGACGAAGCTGACATAATTGATTAGCACGTATACATCCTCTATGCTGAGAAGTGCCAGGGTGATAATGCACTAGAAACGGAAATTATATTATAGTACGTACGAATACGAATACGCGAGAGTCCGAATATCGCGACCGCGACGAGACGAAAACATTTATTTTTTCGTTATTAAATATTCCGTCGTTTCCTGCTTCGTCGCAGGAGCGGAGCAAGCAGAATATTCGACGTTGTTCGTAAATATTGAGAGATCTGTAAAAACGGAGAAGTCGAAGAAAATTCACCGAACGTGGAATAGTCGTCGCAAAATAGATAATTTAACGAGCGATATCGCGGATAATACGTGAAACAGCGAACGATTCGAGATCGTATACGATAAGAAGACTCACGAGGAAGATGAGGGACGGCATCGGCGTTAAGTTCTGGACGTTGATGAGAGCAATGGCAGCAGGCAAGTGTCCGTTTCTCGCCCCCACGAAGAATAATCGCGAAGACGCGAATATAGCTCCGTTTAGGGCGCCGAAAGTCGAGCAGGCCACAAAAAATGGCATTATCCAAGACATCACGCCCAGCAGCTTGTCCCCGAACGTCTATGCAACAAATTATAGATTCGTCCGTTAATTCCGCTTTACGCGCACGTGTATATACGTTACGCGTGTAGCGCCGGTCGTACGGATATAATTTGCACACCGCGAATAACGTACAATTAAACGTTGTCGAATCGATGACGACGAACCGCGAGAGCCAAAATAGTCTCTTCTTCTTTAATCGTTCCAGCTAGTTAAAAATAACAAGTGGACGCGCAACATCTACCGCTATGGTCTACCACGAGCAAACGCGAACAAGCGCGCGTAATTATGATTTAGCAAGAAATTGTAAGAAGATAGGGAAAAGCTTGTTGTACATATATAACGCGCAGATAATGCTACAAAGAAGCGCGAACGCGCGACAGGAGCGACGAGAAGATCGAGCAACTCGTCCGCGTGCATGCTGGTTTACACGATCCCGCTCCATAAGTCGCCGGACACCGTCGCAGTCGTTTCGAAGAGAACGTTCATTCCGATAAGCTCCGAGTGCAAGTAGCAATCTCGCTTTGCCCATTATGCGCATTATCGCGTGTAAAGCGCGCGTAAAGTAGTGACTCGAAATACGCGCGAAACTCTTTTGTAAATTACTTTTAAAGAGCGGACCTAGATACCTAGCGATAGCGCGACGCGCGCTCGTCAACATCGTCGATCGCGCAGAAGGAAGCGATACTTACCACCGCCACCGCGTTCGACGAAAGAATCTCGTCTTGTTTCAACACGGCGAAGTAAGCGACGTTCACCAGAACATAAATTACCGTAACCAATGGCAAGGATATGCAAATAGCCTTCGGTAGGTTCCTGCGAAAGTAAGAAGGACGAAGATTGATACACGATAATGCGGCAAAGATCGTCGACGGGGACGAGGACGGGGACGGAGCGTGCGCGTGCCCGTTTTATTCGTCGTATAAATATAGCTTCTGAACCGCGCAAAGATCCTTCACCGATGCGTCGTTTTTCCAGCGATTCGCTCAAATATAGCGCCACGGATTTTACGGAGCTCTTTGTTCCTTTTTTATTGTACCGTTAATACGATCGAAGAGAACTTGGACCACGCGACGATGCGATTTATCGATAGAAAATAAAACGCGTGTGTCGCCGATGCCTAAACGATTTGTTCAACTTGTCGGGAACGCTGGCTGTCGAACGCTGGGTTCGATCGTATCGACGAAACCAACGAGCTCGACGATAAATATCGTTTTCTCGTTTCCGTTCGAAATTGCGGTTGCAGTTGTATTTGCGTTCGCCCGTTAATAACACCGAGCAGGTGTACAAGAACAATGTCGAATACGCGAGCGGCGTGCAACACGCTTCGTTCGCCGAATCGGTCGTCCGTTTTTTCTGCGAAGCATCTTTTTCGTCTAGATTTCGAACGATTCTTCGCCGTGTTTCGATTTTGACAAACGAGTCGAAAGACCTCTCGTATATTTTTACCAAAGAGCTTTCGTTTTCAATTATTTCCCAAGTTCGATCGGTCTTTTCCTTCGATCGATCGTTCAACTTCTCCTGTAAAGATTCTAAAAATAATTTGGTGAAAAATCGATCGGCGCGCGAAAAAAGTAGAAGAGCGTAGAAACAGCGTCGAGTCGAACGGACGCCGCGATCGTTGCCGAATCGGATATCGTTCGATAAGCGATACGATGAATGGCATAATTACTTGTACGGTTCCTTCAGCTCCTCGGTAACGAAGTTCAGGTAGTTCCAGCCCGAATAGGAAAACAGGCCCGAATAAATGGCCAAAGCGATGTAGCCGGGCTGCGTGTTGGTGTTGGCCATGGGACGGTGGAAATTCTCCGTGTGGCCCGTGCAGAGCCACCAGAATCCGGCTACGATGATGATCACGAGCGCGAAAATTTTCGTGGCGGTGAAGATGTCCTGCACTCTGGTAGCCCATTTCACGTTGTAACAGTTGATGACTGTCAATAAACCTGCGGGCAAGACGGCTCCGATATTTTAGCGGTTGGACACGTTCGAGTCGCGACGCGTGCTCGAAATCGGGCTATCGCGATATCGGGGCTCGATCGCGCGCGATTACGCGGAAAATAACGAAGAAACTTACAAGTGATGACTGCGGCGAGTAAACGCACCGCTTCGTAGGGAGGCACGCAACCCGGCCAAACTGGTTGCAAAATGTACTCGGCGAACGTGAGGGCGGTGATCGCGTTCCCCGTTGGAACAAGAACGAAGAACGCTACCCAGAGATAGAGAAACGCCGGAAACGGGCCGAACGCGTCGCTGATGTACGCGTAATCGCCCCCAGATTTCGGAATCATCGTACCTGAAATCCAAACATCGTTGCGTGAAAAATACGTGTACGTTCGGTTATCGAGCGGAAAATTTCTCTCGATTTCGACGAGTCGCGCGCGCTGTTCCCTTTCATTCGAAGGTTTGCTCCGCGAAACGACTCGCTCGAAAGCGCGAGACTTTGGCGAAGAAACGATCGACCGACGACGCAAGAGCGTCGACGTTTTCCTTGTCGGATATTCGAATACGCGTGACTCGGTTCGTAGGACGAGCAATTTGCTGTAATTGAATCGTTTCGAGGCGCACGGCCAATCTGACCCGATCTTTGAACTCTGAAAAAAGGTCGGTCAACGCTTTATTGAATTATACGCATCGCTAATTGTGATGTAATTCCGCCGATTCGTCTCGGCAGCTTCGTGTCTCTTATCGTTGAACGATGCAGACTCGTCGCGTCACGGCTCAACGGCTTTTCGTTCGTTGACTTTCGCGCAGGAGCATCGTTTCGACTACGAAAATTCGGCTTCTTCTACGGCGCCGGTGCTCGTAGGTGTTGACTTGGAAAATAATTTTCAATGAACATTTTCGAATTTCGTAACGACTGAATTTCAACCTTTTTGGTAAATATGTATATCGCGCTCGAACGGCGAGTCCGGGATGCCGCTAAAAGCCAGGCATCTTAAAGTTGCCAAAGGTTGCTTCCATCCTTCGAACGCGGATGAAAATCCAAACGCGATGCAAATCGGGTTACGTTCGTCTAATAATAATGAAATTATTATACAGAGAGTGTCGCCTAACTCTCGCATCTGAAATAACTGTAAATCCGATTTACGTCGTGTTTGGGCTCGTTTTAATCGGCAAAATCTCAGCTATTCGTCGACGCTACCGAAAACGAAATGTTTCAATTGCACGTTTATTCGTTGCCGTTCATAGTATCCTATCAAATGCCGAATCTCGACCGTCGCGTCGCCGCTCGACGTACCAGACTTATCTAGCTTACCTCGTCGAGGCGTGCTCCGGATAGTTCTTGGAAAGAAAAAGTCTCGCGTACATTTATATGTATACGTATTATTACAGGCTCGTATAAATAATTCTATATTATTTCCACCAATAATATCCGCTTCTTCGACCCAGTTATACTTTACGATAATGTTCTGTAATCTCATTATGCGTACGCGTCATACGCCGATAACAAAATGTTAACACCAAAGTTACGAAGCCTTCGAAGTCATTCTTTGTTACGTTATAAGCGTAACAAAACTATTTTTTAAGATGTTGCACCAGTTTTATCGTGACGCGTTACGCGTCGAAAAGAATGCAATATTCTAGAATTGAAAACACACACACACACACACACACACACACAGAGAAAATACACGGACTCTCGTATCGAAATTTTCAGGTACATACATGTATTATGTATTTTGTACGCTCGTATTACAGCCACTGTCCGCGTTTACACGGAACCGACTAACGCGGGCCACTATTGGCGAATCGTTGTGTTTCAGCTACATTTTTTATTTCTCAACCGTTCCTTGGACGCGTACGAACACGCCGGAATCAAGTTCTCAGTCAACTTTTCGACAAGATCGACGAACGAATTTTAAGTAGCCGAGTAACCGAGCGAGCGCTGCACCTGGCGACGCGAGCCGAGAAGTGACGCAAGAGCCGCTAGGTCTGTCTACAGACTCACGCCGTGTAATGTATGGAAGAAACTGAAAAGGTAAAAGCTGTTTGTTTTACTGGAAACTATTCGATGAAGATTCGTACCGTAAAGTAGTACGATAACGATGATAACGACGATCGGTTGTAAAAAGAAAATCAGGGAATATCGTAACGGTCAACGGTGAACCGGCGGATGGCCCTGGAAACTGCAAATTTGTACGTTCGATTCGAAACGCGAATGAAATAAATAACTATTTCTAAATTTGTTCGTAACAAAAAATACCTTCAAACGAAATAGTTTGACGTATCTTATTTGAAACGTAACGACGTGTCGGAGCGATCGTAACGCGCGGGGTTCATCGAACGCGGATCGCGACGCGAGCTCCACGCGCGAACCAAATCGCATGGCGATTCTAATCGAAATCGAATCGAATCGACTCGTTCGTATTTCAACGGACTCACCGAGTTCGGCGTAGCACAGGGCTCCGATCAGCGACAGCACTCCGGAAAACACCCATATGATCAACGCCTGTCCCACGCTGTTGCTGTTCATCAAAACACCTTTCGGCGCGACGAAAATTCCGGCGCCGACGATGATGCCGACGATGATCGCCACGCCGTCCCATAATCCCAGTTCCTTTTGCAATTTGACGGTATCGGAACCGGAGTCGGACCCGATGGGCCTCAAGACCCGCTTCTCGGCTGGCGCGACTTTGTCCGGCATCGTGTGTCTCCGTGCCTCTGGCCCTCTCGCTTTTCCTCTACCTAACTACTAGCCGCGAGATACTCGCCGGTCCGTCGATGAAAAACTACTGAACGGTCCGACTGTTCGTTCATGCCGCGCGAGGTAGAAACGTGTGATATGCACGTGTGAAAACGAAAAAAGATAGACCGAGAGGGACAGAGTGGGAGGGAGAGAAAGGGAGAGGGAGAAAGAGGACCGCGTGGCGCGGTTACTCGCACTTGACGGATACACGTGCGCGATTACTGCAATCCCGTCTGCAACTACGACGGAGTCGCCGTCTCGCGGACACCGTAACCTCTAATCGGAGTTGGCCCGCGTTGGTTCGGTTCGTCTCGCCAGCGTTCCCTTCTCGTTCCCGTACCCGTTTTCGTTCTTGTTCCCGTTCCCGTTTCCGTTTCCGTTCCACGCACCTTGTCCTGCGTTCATTCAATTCTAGATTAGCCGCCGTTCCGATTTCTCGACGAGACCGCCGAAAAACGAAGGAAATTGTACAATTTACTTTCGCCACGAGTCTTTGCGACTTTACACCTATGCACGTACGTACGTACTACCGACCAACGGGTAAGAATATCGAGAAATTTCGTAGAAGCGACCAATTTTCTTTCCGTCTTGCAGACTAGCTTGGAACGCTGAAACCGGGGATCGAAATCAACGAGATTGCGCCAACAATTTTTGCAAACGGAGATTGCCAACCGAAACTTATCGTGGGCTTACCGAAGAATATTCAGCAGAAAAGGTAAACAAAACTTTCCCAAATACTTGAATACCGGCTTTCGATCGTTTTGGTTATGTTACGGATAACGATCGTGGAACAGGTCGATAATATTTTTGTTATCGCCATTATTAACACCGCACCTACCGTGCCAGTTAAAAAATGGCCGCTTTCGTACGATTTATTTGAAAATTCTTCAAGATGCAGACTCTCTTTCGTAGGAAATGAAACGATCCGATCGATACGTTGATTCGAGCAACCGTTGGAATAAAAATAGTGAAAAGTATCGAAAAGTATATCAAATAAATTCAATCTTGTCGTTTCCATAGATCAACGCGCGTTAGTCGCTTTTAATAATCGGCAGGTTTAGCGTCGAGGAAATTTTTTATCGGTTGTTCGTAACAGTTTAAAGTTTAGCAAAATTTTAAAAAAAGCATTTTGATCATCGTCTCGTAAACCAGTCCCGCTATCATCTAAAAATAATTCAAGTCGCTTGGTCCAGTTTTAAAAGGTTAATTTTTTTAGCAACCGTGTAACTCTCACCAATTGGTAACTGAAATCAATTTCTCTCTCTCTANAACCAGTCCCGCTATCATCTAAAAATAATTCAAGTCGCTTGGTCCAGTTTTAAAAGGTTAATTTTTTTAGCAACCGTGTAACTCTCACCAATTGGTAACTGAAATCAATTTCTCTCTCTCTATCTCTCTCTCTCTCTCTCTCTCTCTCTCTCTCTCTCTCTCTCTCTCNAACGAAATAGTTTGACGTATCTTATTTGAAACGTAACGACGTGTCGGAGCGATCGTAACGCGCGGGGTTCATCGAACGCGGATCGCGACGCGAGCTCCACGCGCGAACCAAATCGCATGGCGATTCTAATCGAAATCGAATCGAATCGACTCGTTCGTATTTCAACGGACTCACCGAGTTCGGCGTAGCACAGGGCTCCGATCAGCGACAGCACTCCGGAAAACACCCATATGATCAACGCCTGTCCCACGCTGTTGCTGTTCATCAAAACACCTTTCGGCGCGACGAAAATTCCGGCGCCGACGATGATGCCGACGATGATCGCCACGCCGTCCCATAATCCCAGTTCCTTTTGCAATTTGACGGTATCGGAACCGGAGTCGGACCCGATGGGCCTCAAGACCCGCTTCTCGGCTGGCGCGACTTTGTCCGGCATCGTGTGTCTCCGTGCCTCTGGCCCTCTCGCTTTTCCTCTACCTAACTACTAGCCGCGAGATACTCGCCGGTCCGTCGATGAAAAACTACTGAACGGTCCGACTGTTCGTTCATGCCGCGCGAGGTAGAAACGTGTGATATGCACGTGTGAAAACGAAAAAAGATAGACCGAGAGGGACAGAGTGGGAGGGAGAGAAAGGGAGAGGGAGAAAGAGGACCGCGTGGCGCGGTTACTCGCACTTGACGGATACACGTGCGCGATTACTGCAATCCCGTCTGCAACTACGACGGAGTCGCCGTCTCGCGGACACCGTAACCTCTAATCGGAGTTGGCCCGCGTTGGTTCGGTTCGTCTCGCCAGCGTTCCCTTCTCGTTCCCGTACCCGTTTTCGTTCTTGTTCCCGTTCCCGTTTCCGTTTCCGTTCCACGCACCTTGTCCTGCGTTCATTCAATTCTAGATTAGCCGCCGTTCCGATTTCTCGACGAGACCGCCGAAAAACGAAGGAAATTGTACAATTTACTTTCGCCACGAGTCTTTGCGACTTTACACCTATGCACGTACGTACGTACTACCGACCAACGGGTAAGAATATCGAGAAATTTCGTAGAAGCGACCAATTTTCTTTCCGTCTTGCAGACTAGCTTGGAACGCTGAAACCGGGGATCGAAATCAACGAGATTGCGCCAACAATTTTTGCAAACGGAGATTGCCAACCGAAACTTATCGTGGGCTTACCGAAGAATATTCAGCAGAAAAGGTAAACAAAACTTTCCCAAATACTTGAATACCGGCTTTCGATCGTTTTGGTTATGTTACGGATAACGATCGTGGAACAGGTCGATAATATTTTTGTTATCGCCATTATTAACACCGCACCTACCGTGCCAGTTAAAAAATGGCCGCTTTCGTACGATTTATTTGAAAATTCTTCAAGATGCAGACTCTCTTTCGTAGGAAATGAAACGATCCGATCGATACGTTGATTCGAGCAACCGTTGGAATAAAAATAGTGAAAAGTATCGAAAAGTATATCAAATAAATTCAATCTTGTCGTTTCCATAGATCAACGCGCGTTAGTCGCTTTTAATAATCGGCAGGTTTAGCGTCGAGGAAATTTTTTATCGGTTGTTCGTAACAGTTTAAAGTTTAGCAAAATTTTAAAAAAAGCATTTTGATCATCGTCTCGTAAACCAGTCCCGCTATCATCTAAAAATAATTCAAGTCGCTTGGTCCAGTTTTAAAAGGTTAATTTTTTTAGCAACCGTGTAACTCTCACCAATTGGTAACTGAAATCAATTTCTCTCTCTCTATCTCTCTCTCTCTCTCTCTCTCTCTCTCTCTCTCTCTCTCTCTCTCTCGATAACAATTATCGGCAATGAACAATATTTTTCGAACCAAAAATTATATTATAATTATCGAGGATAACGTTACCGTGTTACGCACAGATAGATCAACCGCGGTTTCCGATCAAAGAACCGAGAAAAATGTGTAGCATTCGTTCCACGACCGGACATATTATCTAAGAAATTGCATGCCATTCTTTCTCGCTGGCTTTATAGCTCGCTCGTTTGCCGCGCGTTTCGTTCTTTTATGTATGCCTAAATTTTGGACGATACGATTCGAGACGCGATACGTATTCTTCGAATAAATACTACATCGTTTCAACGATTTATAAAACTAGATCGGTCCGTTGAATAAAAACAAAATTTCTCGTTACCTTCGTTAAGAAATATTTCTTCTATTTTTGTACCGTGTAAAAACCACAAAGTATACGTAATTGCAGATAATATTATGGATATCGTAGCGAAGCGGTGTTCGTCATGGTGAAATCATGGGTACGCGATGCCGGCCGTCGGAGGGTTAACGCGATACGTGTCAACTATAATTATTAATTATAGACTTCCGAATAACATGGTCGAAGTTGAAATTAACTGCAAATTCAACGTTCTATATATATAATTTCGACCAAAGTACGATTAAAACGTTAAGCTCTCGGTACGGCATAAAATGAAAAATGAACTCTGCTCGACGCGTAACCAAATATTATTTCTCGTACGGCTTATCAATTTTACGAACGATCGAGACGTCCAAATTATACGCCAAGTTCCACGGCAAATATTATTTTTCAAAATCTTACGGTTCATACGTCGAGACGCGTCTCGATACGATTTCTGTTATTCCACGATCGTGCTATAAAAGAAACCGTTCAACCGCTTTAAATAAAACCGACAACCATAAATATATTGTCCATCGGCTGCGCAATATCCTGGATCACCCGATTCTCTCGTTACATTACGCTACGGACGTTTACGATAGCTTCTATTTCGAACGGCTTCTCGACGAGACACTCGATGACAGAAAAGTCGATTCGATCGCAGAAAACGTTCGTTCGCCGAAAAAATCGTACGAGCACGCGTTCGACTCGTCCAAGTTGCACGTATCCTCTGTGTTTTCCGATCGAGTTTGAAACATTCGTCGTGCGCCGTATACCGCAAGCTCGAGAAAACCGCGATCCGTCCGACGCGAACGCGCGAACAACAAGAACAAGAACAAAAACAATTTCGAATGTAACCGACCGTTCGGTCGAGTCGTTATCAATTGTGCTCCCGTATGTTTTGATCGCCGTCACTTTGCAGCCGCATCCGACACTGTGCAACTTCATGAAACCGTTTCATCGCGGTGGCGACTGGTGACACGACTCCGTGCGTTCGCGCGAATCGAAGCTTTCGTTCGGATTCACCACGGTCACAAATTTTCCATTTCGTCGAACATCGTGTACGCGTACGCGTTCCCAACAATTATGCAACCGTGAAGAAGATCCCGTCGGAAGATCCCTTCCGATCTGCTCGTCGATCTTTTTATCGATCTTTCGCTTTTCGCCACCACCGATATTCGTCCGGTTAATTATCGCACCGGTTCGAGGAACGCGGGGACGTCGTTAAACGGAACAAATAAAAACCAGAGTTTCGTTGTACGCGACCGCGCCGTGCGCACCGTTTACGACACCCATACTGCGTGTGCTAATGCATCGCGTCAAAACCCTGGGAACGAACGTTCTATCGCATTAGCGTCGGCTCTGGCCGGAGAGGAAACGCCGTGCTCTGTTGGCTCCTCGATCGCGAATCGTGACCGGACTGCAGACTTTTATACGTTTGCTATGTGTAATACGTACGCGAGCGCTAGTTTCGTATCCGAGAAATAAACACGCGATCGGAAATTTCACAATTATTTGCGCTCGTTTGCAAATCCGTCGTCGAACGGTCGATTTCTTTTTAACGTTCGTCTCGGTGATCGTGGACCGCGTAACCTCGGGAAACGGTCGGAACGCGTTCTATAAAGCGATTTTGCGTCGCTTGCTCGCGTTCACCGTGATTTCCGATTCGATGAACTCGAATTAATTCAAACTATGTATGTACACGCGCGTTTCCCTGTACGCATTTCTAGCGAGTTTTTACTTGTTTTCGTACCGTCCACTCGCCGACCTTATTTCTGTTACGATCACGCGGAACGGGTTATCTTATCATCATCGAAGGAGTTACACTCCCGCGGTACAATTTTTCGCGCGCCTCTTTAACTCGGTTAGAGTCGAATATTCGTCCCGGACGATTTCTGCCGTCTACACCAGTGCCCGTCCACGTCCGTTGCGATACAGTGCCGTGGTGTGGCACTTCCTTTCATTTTTCCGTCGATCAAATGGAAACGCGCGAGCGCCAATTTCCGATCATATTTTCTGATTTTCGTAGCAGATGCAACAGACGCGGCGATCGACGTCCGGTTCTCTTACGGTTTACATTGTACATATTTAAAAATGCTAGCTAATTATTGACAAACGTACGATCGCATCGTCGACATCCATTCGATGATATCGGTGCTATTGACTCGAGTATCGAGCGATAAATGCGAACGGTTGATCAACTTGATGCGGCAAACCGAGATACGCCGAGGTATAAATTATGCGGTAGTAGAACCGCATAAATTGTTATCCCGTGTCTGTTCGCGTTAACATTTATCAGCTGGATTAAATCAAGAGTATCGTAATACCGCGTGCAAGCATGTCAACGCGCAACGGAAATCTTCCTTGTTTTCTCGTCGGCCTTTGAACATCGTATCGACTTTCGAAACGCGTCGACGCGTTCGATGACCATTCGAATTTCGACGATCTTCGTGAAACATTGATAGTAAATGTCTCTCGGATTCTCGAAGTGCGGCGAACCCTTTGCGGACGAGGATTTTTTATACCTCTGAAAATATTTCTTTCAGAGAACCGGATTATATGCCAAAGTTATAAACACTGGTAAAAGAGGGAAATTTCTACTAATTTTCAGTTATTCATATACATATATTTATATACTCTTTGTTTGGAAGTTTGGTTATAAATAGCATAACCCTAATTGTAGAGTTGAAAACTCGAAAATATCAAAATATCAATGTACACCGACCGTTTTAAGATAAGCCTTTTTTTATAAATTCGACATCTAATTCAAACAACGGTCTTCGAATTGTTTTCGTCGTAAAATACAGTATAGTTCGAGCGAATAAAACTATAAATATTTCAATATTCGTATTTACTTTTTCCAAATAATTTATTTTGGAATTTAGAACGACGTATTCAACATCGAATTAAAAATATTCGACGAGTGGCAACTTTAAGGTCTATCCTATTTGGTCTATACTATTTTCTCGAATTTATATTAATATTATTTTCAAGTTGATACTATTCTATGCATGAAACTGGATTACGTGGCTTTATTCTTTTCTTTTCTTTTTTAAATATTTTAAATATTTGATAACTACACTAGCGACGCCTCTGTAGAGGTTCTCGATCTTTTCTCTGTACTTTTATATTTTTTATTTGATACAGTAAACATATTAGGTAGCACATTTTCGTAAAACTGTTTTTCGAGCAGAAAGAAATGAAACGTCAGCCATCGATTTACGAATTTCTTCGAATAAAGAAGTTTATTACGCGAATTTCGTTTGAAATCTGAAATATACTATCGCGCACTCTACCTATTATTGGTAAAAGTTCTCTGAACTCGGAAGGTAACAACTGCGTGTTGCTCGAATAATCTTCGGTCAGCCGTTCGATTTGTTCGTAAACGAATCTTTCCAATCTGTTTTGACGTTTCTAAACATGAATAACGTTGAAATCGAAGACTTTTATCATCACGACTTCACCACAGCTTCGGAATGGGAGGTGTTTATAGCCCGTCTCGAAGAAATTATGCACGAATGGAAATTGCCCAATAAGAAAATTGGTCGTTGTTTAAAGTCTGGCGACTTTGTCAACTGTCAATGGGAAGAGAATTTTGAAAAACTTTACTTTGCTGGTTCGTATGTACACGTATAACCTGTAGTCTTTCTTTGTTCCGACAAAAGAGACGCGTTGGTTATGGAAGTTGAAATGGTAAACAGTATATTTTTTTCACCACAGACGCAGAATTTCTATTGAAACACTTTCGATTGAAATTAGAAGACAAAGATGAAGATAATTATCTGGAAGACAGCGAGGAAGAAATATTGCAGTGTCATAAGGATGCGATGAACACTTTGAACGATTTCACTAGAGTAGACCAAATTCATTTGGAGATAGCACGTTACTACGGAGTCAGAGAATTTCTTGTTTTACAATCTGCTAAAAAAGAATCTGTTACCGACGAAACCAAAATTAGAATCTTGCTTAGCTCGTTAGCGATCGCAGCTAGTAATGCAAATTGGTAATTCGACAAGTTCCTTTTTTACTTCTTCGATTATGAATTACTTCCGTTGCAACTATAATCTGATCGTAAGTTATTTGAATAAAAGCGTCGATAATATTTATTCGATATTTCTAGCGATATAGCTACTTTGGTACAAGTGCAAGAACCGTGGCAAAAAATGTATCTGGGAACCAGTATCGGAAAAGGGATTTGCACTCATTTCGACATGGTACATTTGAAAAAAATACCGCCCCACTGCAAATACCTTACCGGTATGAATATAGTTTGTAAAACAGAAGCATAGAAGTAATTATAATACTTTCATAAATATAACGATGTAACGCTAATCTAACAAAATTTATGATAATTGTTTGACAGATCGGTATTGTTTTCAGGTTTATTGGCTTTGTTCAAACAGAAAATTGGAGAAGGTTGCGGAGTAAGACTCGATCCAGTAACGATATCTGCTAGGTTTTCGTATTTATTAAAGGATTGGACCACCAGTACGTGGACTCAAGAACCTCCAGATTTCGATTTTATGCAAGGAGAAACATTAGGAGTTGCTGAATTAGGAAAACTGCCGTTTGGAGCTACCTACGATCCTATAGCGTAAATACCTTAGAAAAAAGAAGAAAAATAAGAATTAGCAATATACGTACTCGTATTTGTTAGATTATTCGATCGTCCGTTTCAGGGAACTTCATTTATTTACCACTTGGCCCGAAATGTCAGAAAACGTGGTAGTCGATAGCGAAAGTTTTACAGACTTGGAACCACAGCTAGCACCCGAATGGTCTGTGCAAGTTAAAATGGTGTCTTCCCCAGTTTGTCTCCTCGGAGAATATTTATCAAACTTTAAAAGTATAGCAGATCTGCAAGGTGACCTAATGATGTTCCCCCAAAATGAAGATCAATCGCTGAGTTCGGTTTTTAATATACTAACCGAATCTAGAATACCTACAATTTCGACGGTAGTTAGCAAAGCGACTGCCAAAAAGAATAAAAGCGTAGAAGGGCCGATCCAAGAGGAAATCTTATTGTCTTTGTTATATTTTCTTTTCCCCGATGCCGATGAGAATTCTGTGAGTAATATTGTTCTTTTTTCTTTTTTCCTTTTTCTTTTTTCTTTTTTCTTTTTTCTTTTTTCTAGTTTTAAGAGACACATTGCCACAAAGCGAGGAAATTAAATATCAAATGTTTTAGAAAGCTGCATACGGCGACGTGAGTACCTGTAACGTGGACGAAGATCAGTGGAGAGGATTAAAAACGTGTGCGATGGACAGCTTAATTTGGCGCCTCGCTATCGTCGCAGCTCATTGTACGTACAATCTCGGTGGTGCTGGCGCTTTGGCGCAATTATGGTACGAATTTGTGCAAGAGATCAGATTTCGCTGGGAAAGGAGCATCCTCATACCTGGGTGAGTATTGCACGTTTCGTTTTAGAAATAACTTTAGTATAGAAAAGTAGATTCGTGGAAAACGTGGTGCAGTGGAGGAATAAGAAACTTTAGTATGTTTTGCTCGATCGAATTGAAATTTATAAGAACGTATAGTACACAGGATATTGCCGTGCATTGGATTTCAATTATTTATTCGAACACTGTACTTATAAAGTAGTCGCTGTGTAAAAATATACAAAAACTTTTTACCGTTAAAAGAAAAATCTGTCATTACCAAGATATATATCGCATGTCGCGAAATACTTTGTACACAAGTACATTTCTCTTTGTAACATGCGCGTAAAAGCTCGATCTCTGTAGACGGCTTCTATATGTATATGATACAGTCTTTGGATACGCGCGCGAACACATCCATCGCTCGTACGCATCGATCCCGGCTCGTTGACAGTTTACACGTAAAATTGCTTCTAGAGATCGTATGTCCGAGCCAATCGAGTTCTCAGCGTTCGATTCGAGCACACACGATGCACACATATTTCTAACGCGTCGTTTCAAATGCTTTACTACTGCTTAACTACCTTAATCGCGATTATCACACGGTAATATTCGCTATACCGTGTAGCCGTAGTTGGCAGACAAAATACATACGGTAAACTCGTGGAGTATCACCTTAATTCTTACAACTGGACATTGACGAATCTTCGCCAAAAGATACCGTTGCGCGATACCGACACAAGTTTAGGTAAAGTTCGTATTTCAGTAAATTACTTGTGTTGCTATTAAATTACTATTTAACCCTCGGAAGGCGAATGATTTTCGATGGCCGTGGGAAACGAATGCAGGGTTATTTTGACTCACCCTGCATTCCACGTACGAGGGTTAAAAGATGGATTCTGAAGTAACAGTTTGAATATATTAATAACAAAATGATAAGAATCGATTTATTTACAGATTTTTCTATAAATATACATGCAGCGCGTGTAACTTAAAATGGTACACCGTAATGCTCTAAAAATGTTTGTTTATCAATTTTTCTTACCACGTAATATTATTCCATAATTCCTTAAAAACAATAGTAAATAGAACATACGTCCTATGCGTGTAATAAAATGAAAAAATGATGGAAACATTAACATAGTCTCTAGATATCAAAATAATTGTAATAGATTTTCTTTTTTCTTTCAAAAAATTCGGTTTACCTAATGTTTTTAATCAAAAGAAAAGAGTTCGAAAATGGAACTATATTTGCAAAGAACTTTTTGGCAACATAGCGATCGATGAATCGTTATTTACAAAGTCTGGAAAAATACAAGATACGTGATAACCGCGCGCGCGATCAAAGTATAATAACTCATCGACGAATGATAGCACGTTTCGTTTACTTTTTAAAAATAGGAGAAAGGGTCGGGTTATATTATATATTAGAAGAAGAAGAAAAATGTAAATTATTTTAGCATCGACTACGTAATAAAAGTAATTTGCAGATACGTATCTTACGAGTATTACAGTGTACGATTTTAAGCGACACTCGTCGTAAAATATACAAATTGTCGTTTGCTACATGATATTTAACTCGACGACCGGTATCTCTACCGATTCGATGGAAATGAACAATTTAATTATCGGAAGTCTGTTAACGGGCTTTTTTAACGACTGTGCTTTGATTGATAAAAGACTATTAAATAATTATCGGTAAGTGGACGAAGCGTTAACCAAGTTTCATGTCTCTGTATCTACGCGACGCTTCGTTTTAGAGAATCCGACTTTCATAGCGATCGATTAATGGAAATCGCGTTTGCATCGCGACGCTTTCCATAGTCGTGGGTGAGCTTCCGAACGTTCGCGACTTAAATTTGAACGACGTAAGACGTAAAAGGTAAAAGTCAAGGTTGCTACGAGACACGAGGAATACTTTCACATTGTATACGCACGGTGTCAGAAATACATATACATATACGTATACGTCACGGCCGCCATAGCGCGCGATTCGATCGAAATTTGAACTTTCGAGGCCGAATGTTCAAGGTGTCGGTGTCGCATTTTCAGACAAATATCTCCGAAACCGAAGGTATCACGGCCGTGAGATATAATATCGAAACAGCCTGTGGCCGTGCCTCGTGCCTCTCGAAGTAATTTTACGAGTTCGCTCTATCTCGACGGTCGACTTTGAACGTTTATCGTCGGACCGATCCAACTACGATCAGGCTATACCACGCGATGTTCGCGCAATCTCTTTAAAACTATAACGCCGCTGGTTACACCTAGGCTAGGCTAAATAGCGGTCGCGAGCCGCCGGTGATAATGTCACTGAACACGTTTGAGCAAAACTATGTACGCGTATGCGCGCACGGCGGGTCGCGCTACAGCGGCATCAGGCCACCTCTCGTGGTCGGATTACGCGCCATGTATATGTCCATGTCGTGATCGGTCCAATTGTTCTCTTCGTAATTGTTGAGAGTGTGCGTCGAGTCCGCGATGCTGTATCGGCTACCCGGTCGCGGCGGGTTCTGCTCCAGAGTGCGGTTGCAGGATCGCGGTCTCTGTCTTCTGGACGAAGTGTGGGACGGCATGTGACTCGGCGAAAAATTTGTTCGCGACATTCTGTCGGATGCTGCTGCCAGGGACTGTCGAGACTGTCTCAGTTCTGTAAGAGAAATTGCGATCGATCGGGCGCACAGGTTTTTGCGCTAGTACAGCAGTTTCGCGCTTCGAATTCGTCGATTTTTATCGAGAATTCCAACGTACGTCGAGTTATAATTCGAACGATATAATTCGAAAAATCTATTTCAACCACGATTTACCTGGTCTGGTGTTGGTAAGGTTGGACGACAAAGTGTTGTTCGCGAAGTATCTCGTAGAAGCGTTGGCGAAGCTGTGTTGCGATTGTCCGTCGGCCACGGATCTCGTCGATATTTTCCCGCTGTAATGTCCTGTTTGAGATCTGACGTCGTCGATGCAAGAAGCTCTGGTTATCGATCCTGCAATCGAAGATTCGAAGATTCGATCTTTGAAGGTCGTCGACCAAAAGAGGAGAACGTTGAAACGAGAAACGCGACACCGGTCTTCTTCTCGATGGGTTTAGCGCGCGTACATACCTTGCCGGTCTATGGGAAATATTCTCGGTCGCGGAATGCTTCTGTTGCTGTAAGCGGACACTTGGTCCCACTCTTTCTGGGCATTGTAAGCGCTGAGCGTCGCCATCGAGGACAACGGCCCGCCAGGACTGGGCGTCGGACCGACGTTCGAGCAACAGTTGACCGGCAATCCGGCGATAGGTCCACCCATTTTCGTCTGATCTATGCTGTGCAGCGTGTGCAGTTTCCTGGCTCTTCGACGATTCGCCACGATGAATATTATCACAGCGACCACTATCGTAGCGCATATGGCTGCGCTGGCGGCGATCGTGATCTTGTCCATGTTGGACGTAGGAGAGTTCTCTGTCCTTACTTCTCGACATTGGTTGTAGGGAACGTTCGCCGGAGTTATATTCGTTTCCTCCAGAGACACCACGCAGACCACGATGCATTCCTACGAGGAGGAAAAGAGAATTAAAACGTACCTTGTTACTTTCATTCGCCGACTCTTACGACTCGACGATCGACGAATCGATCGACCGCGCCGCAAACGGATCGTCGTCGAACCGTGGATCGACGATCGAAATGAAAAACAACGCGACAACGTATTCGCTCCATCGACGACATAATTCGACCGAGTCGAAAATAGCGTCCGCGGAAATACGAAAATGCGTTACCTGCGACGGGACGTTCTTTATCTTGAATTCTCTTTCGCTGGCTTCCAGAGGCGGCGCTTGTTTGAAGCTGTTCTCGCCGAACACCCGATAGATAATTTTGAAACCCAATATATTGGTCGCTTCCGTGTCCCAATAGATGTTCACAGCGTTGTCCTGTCTCAGCACGTCCTTCACCACGATATCCTTCTCGCTCGACTTCGACTTGTAGAGGGGCGAGCCGAGTACCAACGGTGGCCTTGGCTGATGCTGCTGCAAATGGTCCTGAACGTGTTTAGGAGGGGCTGGGGAAGTTCTCATTATTACCACGTTGCCGGTTCGCGCGACCGTTGGTCTGCCGGTGATGGATCGCGAAGTGGTCGTCGTGGAAGCTGTTTCGATTTTCTTCTCCTCGGTGGCGGCGGTGACGGCGGCGGCGGGTACGAGCTCCGTGGTCGTGGTCGTCGTCGTCGTCGTCGTCGTCGTCGTACTCGTCGCCGACGTCGATACGGCGATCGAAGGTCGAGTAGGCGGACCGTAACCGGTCCCCGTTGCTCCAGGACCCGACGGCTCTCTCGTGTCCACGCTTTCCACCGTACCGATACCGATGATTTCCGGCGTTTGATCGCAAGTCATTTCTACGCGGGACAACGAGAGATCGTTACAATTCGTTTCTAACAACGACGGGCTGTCTGTACGCCCAACGCGTTACACCCGTGGGTGCTCGGTTAAATTTACACGGATTCGGGAGCCATTGCGTAAACTTGGACGTACGGGACACCTTTCCCC